TATGGAACAGGATACTCCGTTCGGTGGTAAAGTGTTTGTATTTGGAGGCGACTTCAGACAGGTACTTCCGGTTGTCATCCGTGGGACACAGGCTCAGATTGAGGATGCTTCATTGAAAAGATCTTATATTTGGCCTTCGGTGACGACACTCAGACTGAGCAAGAATATGCGAGTTAACAGCCATCCTGAGAACCAAGCGTTTGTCGAATGGCTACTCCGTATTGGTGAAGGGACAGAGCCGACCGTTAGTTTTGGCCCTCATGTCGACTATATCAGGATACCTGACAACTTGGTCCTTGACGCCCCAGCTGTAAATAAGGATCACAGTCACGAAAAGCTACTAATTAGGCAGATATTTCCAGACATCGAAACTGCTGGACTCCGGCCTGAAATACTCATTGAGCGCGCTATATTGAGCCCTCTCAATGAAGATGTAGACAGGCTAAACCAATTGGCTACCACTATGCTCTGTAGTACTCAGCAATCAGTCAGTTATATTGGTCAAGATAGCCTACAAGACCCTGAAGCAACAGCTCCGGTCCATTATCCTGTAGAATATCTAAACAAGCTTAGTCCACCAGGCTTGCCTCCATTCAAACTGGAGTTGAAAGTCGGTCAACCTGTCATCCTTCTTCGCAACTTGAATCCAAAGCGCGGACTATGTAATGGCACCCGCATGATTGTGCGTGCGTTGGGCACAAGAATGATCCAGACTGAGATTATCAATGGGCAATATCGAGGGGAGCGTGTTTTCATTCCTCGCATATCGCTTACAACGATTGATGACCGCTCTTCGCCAGTTATGTTCTGCAGACGCCAATTTCCAGTCAAGCCAGCCTTCGCCATGACTATCAATAAGTCACAAGGACAGACACTTAAACATGTCGGTGTTTATCTTCCTCAAGATGTCTTCAGTCATGGCCATCTCTACGTTGCTTTATCACGGTGTACTGACCCAAACAATCTTAAGGTGCTGGTCGGGAATGGGAAGGTACAAGCCAAGCCTGGGATATACACCAGAAACATTGTCTTCAAGGGCGCATTGTAGTCACAATATCTTGGTTTTCAGACATCCTGCTGCTTCTTCATCTCCAAGTCATTCACGTCAACTTTCAGCTCATCTCCATTGTTATTCAATCTGACGTTATTTTGTAGCACTTATTTGTATTTTACTTGCATTTATATTTTGTATTTTATTTTGCATTTATATTTTGTATTTTATTTTGTTTTTGTATTTTATTTTGTACTATAAAGATAACTTACTATGTTGTAAGCATTAAATTTTATTACGAGGCAAGAGCAGGCCGTGGCGAAGCCACGGTCTCCGGCTCGTTTTTCTTTATTTCTCGTCGGATTTTCAATGAAGAAAGGTGACACACATACGTTCATGGTACCTATGACAATGTGAATAGGTCGTCCTTCGTAGACCATTCAGTAGACCATTAGTACGCAGGAGTACTAAAATCAATAATTTTTTCCAACTTTAGCTGGCCAAGTCGAATAACATGACGACTTAAGCTTATTATCCGAGAGCCAGGACCATATATGTGTTATCTTCTTTTATTGCCTAATTTAGCGAACTTTTCAGAAAACTACCCTTAAATAAAAGAAATAAACTATATAAATCTGCTCTGCCACCAAGTTGGATCTGCATCTTCTTGATAGTGAGCCAGGAAAAATAGTAAAACTAAAGACAAAAGGGTGGGTATAGGGTGGGACATATATGGTCCTGGCTCTCGGATAATAAGCTTAAGTCGTCATGTTATTCGACTTGGCCAGCTATTATCCATCGAGCCAGGACCATATATGTGGATCCAGAGCAGATTCCTTAAGACAGTATCATCGAGGTGAAATTAGTGGCTGTTGCTGCGTTCAGTCGATAGAACTTGTCGAACAGAATTGATGAAGACCAATTGCCTTGTACCACTACATCGTCGACACTGGCGCCTTGTTTAATGGCTTGGGTGGAACCAATAGCCCTGGCTTTGGGTAACTTTGACCCATTTGGAAGAATGAGCTTGCTGCTTATGGCTGAGATATGATTGCTTATTCGATCAGCTCCCACGGGTTTTTTGAGGTCTCTGATATCTCGTATTAAAGGACGATATCGAATGCTTTGGTCCTTAGGGTGCGGTACGCTGATAGCGTGAGTCTCAATCCTTTTGAGATATTCGGTGAAGGTCATCACCGGGCAAAGGGAACTGTCGGTGTGATTCTTACCTGTGGTGTATTTGCATATCCTGCTGCCACCACGTGTTTCCTTGGGAATCAAAATTGGAAGGACTACAACGATGCCATCGATATGGAATTTGTCATTTGATAGATCGATACACATGATATCGTTTGGTCGGAGAAACCCACATGTACCGAGTAGCCAACACAGTTTTTGTGTGAGAATAAGGAGAGTGAGAGAACTGTTAGGCCCTAGTTGTTGTAAATATTCGACAGCGGGTTTGATGTCTATATTGAGTTCCTTTGTATGCTTGATCTCACGACGACGTAGAGTTTGAAAAAATAACAGAAAGTCCGGATCGTTGAATGTGCTCTTGTCGTCATACATATGAATGACTGCGGCTTTATATGCGTCCACTGTTGAAGCTGACCATCCGTGGATTGCGACTCCGGAGGCAAGCCAGTTACATAGTTGAGGTGGCTGTGGTACCATGGCGTCTACATTGCGTGCTGTGGCCCACTGGATATACCTGTCTTGTATCTTGGCGTATGCGCGTTGCTTGCGTTGTAACTCAGGACTGTCCACAACTATCGATGCCGTGGCTGGGTCGAAGCCTTTCGCTTCGAGTCGTCGCTTCTTACCCTCCAAGCGCATAATGACCAATGGGGATTTTTGGCCAGAATGTCTGGTGCGTTTCCCGGCGCTGGGAGAACTTGATGGCGAGGTATTGGTATTGGATGGTCCACTGTCATCATCTTGATTGTTGGATACCACATCGCCGAAGGCCAGTAAGGTGTCACTAAGGTTGCTTCTATCTTCTCCTCTCGGATTTTCTCCAATACTAGGGGGATGAGGTTCCACGGCGGGCATAAGTAAACGTTGCCGAATTGGCGCCAATGATGTTGAAGGGCGTTGTGCCCTATTGCTCCTGCAGTTGGTTTCCAGCTCATGAACTTCGTCACTTTGTTGTTTGTTGGCGAGGCGAATAGATCGACGTGGTGAGGGCCCCATCGTCTTTGGAGCTTTTTGAAGAATTCTTTGTCGATGCTCCATTCTAGTTGTCCTGTCAGGCGCCGGGATGGGGCGTCTGCGGGGTTGAATGCTGAGGGCACGTAGGTTGTCTTGATCCTTGTCTCTGTCTTCAGGCACCATTCCCATATCGATGTCGCTAGCGTCATCAGTGCTGGAGATCGTGTCCCGCCGAAGTGGTTGATGTAAGCCATTGTCGTGATGTTGTCCGTTATCACGTTCACTGTGCGTCCCCTCACTTCTGGTTGTTTCAGGGCGTAGAAAATGGCCTGCATTTCCTTGTAATTGATGTGTCGTTCTCGAAGACTGTCTGACCAAGATCCCTTGATTGTCTGGTTGTTGATGACTACGCCCCATCCTGAATCCGATGCGTCGGTGTAAATGTCGACTTCTGGGTTGGTTGCGATCCATGTCTTCCCATTCCATGATTTGAGATGTGTCCTCCACCAAAGGAGTTCCCCCGTTGCTTTGGTTGACAGAGATATTGAGCGTTCCCATGAGGGATCCGATTTCAATGCATGAATCTTGTCTGCCATGAGGTGCTGAACCTTGAGGCGAGCCGGGAAGACTGCGGCTGTCATTGCGCTCGCTTTGCCTATGAAGGATGATAGCTGACGGACTGTGCAGATCCCCTTGTTGGCCAGTTTGGACGCTTCTCGACGACTGTCCCGGATTTTCTTGCCCGGTACGCTCAGGGTCATCGTCGTTGTATCTATCTCGAATCCCAGATGTTCCAGTATCTGTTTCGGTTGAAGACTCGACTTGGATTCCTTTGTCAAGAAACCTAGGCTTTTCAGTTTTGTCAAGACTAATGCTGTTGCACGTTGGGATGATTCCTTGCTCGGTGCTGCGATTATCAGGTCGTCGAGGTAAGCTGATATTCTTATTCCTTTTGTTCGTGCCCATTGAAGTAGAGGCTTCAGTATCTTGGTGAAAATCAAAGGTGCTAGGGAGAGTCCGAATGGTAGGACCTTGAATTGGTACAGTTGTTCCCTCCATTGGAATTGAAGATATTTTCGTGATGCTGGGTGTATCGGCACATGAAGAAATGCATCGCTCAGATCTATACTGGTAAGATAATCGTTTTTCTTTATTAGATTGCATACTTGATGGATTGTCTCCATCTTGAAGTGTTGTGTAGGTAAGTACTGATTTAATGCTTTCAGGTTTAGGACAGGTCTTTCGTCTCCAGTCTTTTTGGGGATTGTGAAGAGCGGACTTGTAAATCCGGGTCCACTCGCGAATTCTATTGCACCCTTCGTTAGCAAAGCGGACACTTCGTTGTCCACACTCTTTGTCGCCTTCTCCGATAGCGGGTAAGGTGGAGGATGGGATGTTGAAATTGGGGGTGCGTTCAAGAGCGGGATAGAGTAACCTTCCTTGACTATCTCTAGGAGTGTTCGATCTTTTGTAACATTCCGCCATGCGTTTAAGAAGAGTGTGATTCTTCCCCCGACTTTCTCTCTTGTCGTCGGCGGCTGCTGCTTCGGTCTCTCCGGCGGCTATCTGATCTCCGGTAGCTGCCGTCCTTTCTTCGGCTGTTGCTGTCTCCTCGCCTGTAGTTGTTGTCCCCGTAAAAATAACAGCCTTCGTTGCTTTGTTGCCAAATTTGTAGTTGTAAGACGAATTAGAGTTTGTCTTATTTTTTCTCTCTGAACTACTGCTAGTTTGAAACTGTCGGGGGCTGAAAAAATTTTGTAAGGCTTTATTGGTCTTAATTTCCTCCTGGAATTTAGTTGGATCCACAAGTTCCAATGATGTTTGCTTGTAGGTTGAGCCCATTGCGGCATGAAGATTTTCAAGTCGCATGTTGTTGATCCTGTCGATCGTACCAGTAATCTGTTCCTGCATAAGTGTGACAAAGGTGCCGCAAATGTCGGCGATGTCTTCGGTACCCATTTTATCATCGATTTCCATGGAAGTGATTTGGTGAGCGAACAAATGTAGTGGGCGAGTAAGGTTGAGTAACCGTTTTTGTAGCGCTCGAAGTTGTTGATCATGATGTTTTTGATGGGTTTTAAGAGAAACAGCTGAAGGGAGCTTGGGAGGTTCATATGGCCAATGAATGTTTTTTGGAAACTGTCTGAATTGTTCCCAAAGCTCCTCGTCGGTAATGTCTTGTTGAAAGACGGAAGAAGGATCTTTTGGTTCCAAGAAGGGGAAGCGTTCGAGATCATCTTGTGTGGGCTTGTAAGTTTGAATGAGAGTAGGGGTCTCCATGGCTGGATCTTGTTCCTCCTTGGAGCGCTGAAGATCAGCGAATTGGCTAGCCAACGTAGCCAGTTGTTGTTGAAGTGAAGCGATGGTTTCATCTTGAGTGATAGACATAAGGGGAAGTAGCAGTAGTGATCTAAAACGAATGCGGATACGTTCCTGGCGAAACAAAAGAAGATGCAGATCCAACTTGGTAGCAGAGCAGATTTATATAGTTTATTTCTTTTATTTAAGGGTAGTTTTCTGAAAAGTTCGCTAAATTAGGCAAGATAACACATATATGGTCCTGGCTCGATGGATAATAGTACTCAACTCTAGTATTAGTACTAGTATGTCATACTAGTCCTGAAATACTAAAATCTGTACACTCGGGATTGTTTTTGTTATTTTGGTACGCAGTACGAGTATGTCATACTAAATTTTCGTTATTTTGGTACGCAGTACCAGTAATACTAGTATGCCATACTAGACACCTGATACTAAAATCAGTACGATCTTTGAAGGAAAATAAATAAAACCTTAAGTCTGATTTGATAGTGAGGAAAACGTTCATGCTTGTTAAGATATGCGTACAAAAACCTCAGTGAAGCCACATTCGTTTTTGCTTCTACTTTCTGTTCTTATGTCTTTTCTGAGCCCTTGACTCTACAACTGTTGCAGGTTGCTTCCTCTTAGCCATTTTGGCAATCATATGAGGGTTTTGCTGATTAAGCTTTTTATAGTACTTATTGATCATTGCTTTGAAGTCAAAGTCTTCTTACCTAAGTTGCGAGTTGTGCTCATCGTCATATCCTTTCCACTTAACTGTGTACAGTGTCTCTCCCCCCTCAGAAGTTTCATGACTCAAGATAGCTTCGACTTCATAATGATCATCGGCATCATTCGAAGCATCAAGTGGTCGATCCACTAGCTTAAGCTGTTCAGGAGCAAAATTACGAGGTAGTAGTTGTCTCATCGCGTCACGGAGAACATAGGTGCCACGAACAGTGCGACGAACGACTTGAAACGGCCCAATGTACTTATTATCAAATGTACTATTAGCCAAGGGGTCTTTGATCATCACATAGGCGGCAATAGGGAAGTCAGTTATAAAATGATTTGAGTTGAATTTATCCACCATTTTCTGCTGCGAGGCTGTACTCTTATCTGCAATAGCAGGGAATACAAGGTCAGTAAGATACTTTAAGCGCTCATTCAATTCTGACTCAGATAACAATCGTGATTCCGATGCCGAGAAGTCAGATATGCCGGCGAAATCTCGACCATAAAACAGCGAAAAAGGCGCCGAGCCATGAAGGCTAGCTGCTCTAGTATTCATTTGTAACTGGACCATAGGAAGCTGGTCATCCCATTTAGTAATTTCGCCTTGGATAGATTTCTGCAAGAGATCTTTAAGGGTACGGACATTACGTTCTGCTAATCCATTGGCCCGAGGATGATAACGCGTTGTAAGACTATGATCAACCTTAAGCTTGGTCGCTAACGACCTGACAACAGAGTTGACAAATTCAGTCCCATCATCACTCTGGATAATTTTAGGGAACCCAATGGAGCAGAATAATTTGAAAAGTCGAGCGGCGACAGTAACCGCATTCCGATTAGGTATTGGTTCGCTAAAAATAAACCTCGTGCATACATCTACGGCGAGAAGCATATTCGTTGCCTGCGTCACTGACAGGAAATTGGGCTAGGTCAATGGCTATGTGCTCGCCTGGTAGAGTAGCATGTATCGCTTTGAGTGGATGGTAGCCTTTACGCACGATATTATAGTGCTGGCAAGCAGAGCATTGTCTTATCCACTGATTGCAGGCTTCACGCATTTTGGGCCAGTTATATCCTTGCTGCTGTAATGATACAACCATGGCATTAATGCCAAGATGTCCAAAGCTGTGTGTATCTTTCAAAAGTTGCTTTTGCTGATCATCAGTAGGCGTCACTTGTTGCACTTCTTGATCTTGAATCTGGTGCACATAAGGTAAAGAAGTATTAAAACTTTCAATCCTTGGAATAAGATCTGCTGATCGTGTAACTATTGAAGGATCAGTTGTGTCAATGGAGCGTAAGCTGCGTCTTGTTGATATTGCAGATACTCTTGTAGACTCTGATTGAGAAGACTCTGGATGGGTCGGACTATTTTCTCGGGCCCATAATTCATCAGGAAAAGCTCTCGATAGCGCATCAGGAATAATGTTCAGCAATCCAGGTCTGTAGATGCGTAAAGTGTCCTTTGACGTTTCTCAATTTATCCAAAGGTGCTGCCAAAGTACTAAAGAGGGGTATGTATTCTCTGAAGTGGTTAAACATCCCAAGGTATCTTTGTACCATATTGTCATCGGTGGGAGGAGCCCATGATTGAACATTAGCAACTTTTTCTGGATTAATCCTTCTACCATTTGCATCGATGACGAACCCGAGCAACAAAACTTCCATGCGGAGGAAATTGCTTTTTTCCTTATTGATAATCAGATTGGCACTTGTCAATAGTTTGATCACCAATTTGACATGTTCAGTGTGCTCTTCAATGCTGTCGGAGAAAATGACAATGTCATCAGCATATACGCTAACGAAATGAAGATCTCCAAGCAATTGAGACATTCCTCTTTGGAATATACTGGTCATAGGCTTCAACCCAAAAGGAGCACGAGCAAACATATATTGTTTGTTCATATGCTTAAGTGCCGTGTAGGGTTGGCTTTTCTCATCCAGAGGTAATCTATGATATGCTTGTGACAAGTCAATTGTAGTAAAATACTTATGACCTGCAGCTCGTTCCAATATTTCGGAAATGATAGGGATAGGAAAGTTATCAATATCCACGAGCTGCTTGTTCAGCGTTCTTGGGTCAAGACAGACTCTGTATTTAATAATTTCGCCTTCTAAATTCTTCCTTGCTGCTAGTGTGAGAGAGTTATTATAAGGATTGCCCTTAGGCGCCTCAACTATAACTCCGTTGTCTAACCAATTCTGTACGGTGGTATTGACTTCATCCATTTCTACTTGCCCGTAGAACCTACGAGAGCGTTCTTGGATCACACAGTCATCTCTGACTTTTAGATGGACTCTCATAATGTCTAGTGGACAGTGACTCTTAGGGTCAATCTTGCTATTAGAGCAAAGGAAGGGATCAATGGCTAATAAGAGCTGCTTCTTCTGTTCGACGAATTCAGTTTCTAACTCTTGGTCTTTCATAGTGGAGGGCACAAGTGGCGGTTTACTTTCATCATCTAAGAAATCATCTGCCTTTTCAGCAACAGTTGTAGCTATGCCATGGATCCCAAAGCCCGATGAGGAAGTCGTAATAGCCCATAGGCATCACACTGACTCTGCATTCTACTGTTCGGTGATTACAAGAGAGAGTAATAGCATCTACTGTGCCGACATTTTGAAAACTAGTAGTGTCGTCTGCAAATTTAATTACAGTATTTTTCGAAGTTGCAGTCCTTATTTTGAGGTCTTTGGCTACTTCTCGATTGATGAAGGATACGTTGGAACCAGGATCAAGTAAAGCCGTGTGCAATAGGCCATTTATAGTTATGGGAACAGATATTCTGTTGTCTTCCGGTTCAGGTCCTCTATAACCAATATTTCTATTAGGTTTGGGATCCGCATAATTGTCATGCGGATGTGGTGCTTTTGATTGTGGTTTTTTAGAATTTGATACAGCACTTGTCGCTGCTATTTTTAAGGGATGGTTTATAGACACAGTTTTGTGGATCAAAGATGAATACTTAGGTGCATCTAATGAAGAGCCGGTAGGGCTGTCAACATAAGGGGAAATGTCCATACGCTTAATTGCAAATTCCAGATCATTTCCAATAACATCGTTATAACTATCTTCTTTGATCTGAGTTATAGCGGCTACTTTATAATTGCTCTTCGGATCTCTTCTAGCTCGCTCCTTTGCTTGAGCTTGCTTATTTAGCTCGGCAAATTTAGTAGGCTTGGTATGCCTGAAGCAGTCAGCATCGGCATGCCTCCTTTTTAAGGAGATGCATACCGGATCCTTGCACAAAATGACAGCACTTTCATCTTTTCGGGCTCTCTGGCCCTGCTGATATGGATGTCTTCGGTCCTTCCGGGTGTCTCGATTTCTCGATGTAGGACGGGATGTACTCCTTTGGGGTCTTGTAGGTGGCGAGATTCCAGTCATAGAGGATGGAGCCTTATTGGTCTGCAATCCTTTTGTAGTGAAGTTATTGATGAACCAAGCACAGGGATTATTCTTTTCACCCGTAAGAACGCTTGGATTCGCTCTAATAAAATCCAACAACTGATCTATGTCCTTTATGGCGTCTAAGGACTTGAATTCCCCGAAGACTCTTTCCTGACCGGCATCAGACAACGCCGTTATGACCTTGCCGTAAAGGAGCACTCCCATGGGCTGTAGCCCACCGGCCTCGACAATTGACTCTATTCTGTCCGCGAAGGTATTAGCATCTTCGTGAGGCAAGACAGTAAGGTCTGTAATTTGGCAAGTGATCCAGGATCGAATTAAATCGAGCTTCAGGATCAAATGGATGCTCCTTTTGACTTGCTTCCAAGAGCGATCGCCATAAGCTTCTGTCTTTATCAGGCGGTTGTACTTGCTATCCAAGCGGATCTGTTCTAGAGCAAATCCCATGTACCGCCAAGCTAAGTCCTCGAAGAGATCGTCCGTCAGGAAGTTATGGTAGTACGTCTCGAAAGCCTTGAGGAAGTCGATAACAGTCCTTGCCACCTTTAGAGCTATTTCTTTCTCAGGTACATTGTCCAACTGAAATTTAAGCGTAGGGGCATTCGCTTTCTTCTCCAGCTGGACCCTTGAGAAGTCGATTTCTTTGGTACTTATGTCTAGGACAGGGATCCGTTTGTAGTTGAAAACTCGGATCAGTGCAGCATGTTTCTTGATATCATAATCAGGTGCGATATCAAGACTACCGCTGTCCTGCATATCAACATCGCTGGGAAAAGAAGTGGCTCGTTGCTTGACAATCTGTTGACGTTCCTTGCTGATGACTTCCTGTACTTCAAGATGATCTTTGATAAGCTTATAATGAGCTTCAGCCGCGTCATAGTCTTCTTGTAGGGATTTGAGCTGATTGTGAAATTCTCGCTGAGCTTCTTGCTCTTCTGGGGAGCGAGGTCGTAATTTAGATTTTTGGTTATTATTGTAGTTGGTGAGCAGGCGAGTTTTTTCGTCCATACATTGCTGTCTTTCCGCATCAGCCTCTTGGAGAGACTGTTCAAGTTGCTCCAATAAGGCTTGGGGAGACAAGTTTACTTCAATTGTCGAGGGCATCGCAACGGTAGGGTTTTGAGCTTCAACGACAGAGGAAGAGGGAGTGGACTCGATTGTAGTAGAGTTCATTGTTTTTTTTTTTTTTTTTTTTTTTTTAAAAAAAATGATTGAGTGAGGGTGAATTAGAGATTTTTGGAAGGTGAGATGAATCTGTGGATTTCTTGATGAATTGAGTGTGCTCGAAAAAGGTTCCGATTTTTATTTTTTTTTTATTTTTTTTATACATATATATACGAGTGCCATCATCTCTATCCATGTTAAGACGCAACGCGTCAGGATGGCATGGTTTGTATACCACGTTCCAAATTTGGAGGCAAATTAACAATAGATCGCTCTGATCTGCAGGAATCCATAATTACAGTCGAGTCTGATTTTTATAGGCGTTTTCTTAAGAAAAACGCCTACAAATTTGATTAAATTGACCTCCCTAAATGTTTATTCTAAAATGACGTTTGGAAAGTCACACAATTATATTTCTCACATGACACACTTTTTTTGTTAGCCTTTACATCCCTTTGCAATCAAAACGATGCCAAACAATAAAAAACTCCTTCTCCTCCCCACTAAGTATGATAAAAAATATACAAAGCGCGAGCTGGAAGAGCTCGACCGCACTCATGAACAAAGGTATAGTGAGCTTTTAAAGAGTACCCGAAAAAATGACATGTCCGCTGTTATTTTGCTCCCAAACCCCAAACAGTTTGAGATCCCGATGTCTAGGGTCTCATACTCCCTTGAAAAACAAGTTGAACTATTGGATATTCATCATTACCTTGAACAGCGGAAAGACTGCCTCTCAGTCAAGCTTTCTTCTAAATCTTTCGGATGCTTAATAGGAGTATACCTTCCAAAAAGTAGCTTTCAGCGATTACTTCATAATGAAAACAAAATTCGAGCTGCAGCCGAGGTATACCCCCCGGGCTCACATTATATCGTTGAGCGAAAAAACGCGGTTCTCGAAGAAGTCCTCTACTACTGGATACAGCGACAACGAAAGAAAAGTCGGTATATCAACGGCAAGATGCTCAAACACGCAGCCAATGTAACATACACGGTTCTCTGTGATCTTCAAGATGAATCAGGAAATACACTATCTGAAGCACAGCCATCATTTTCGGCTTATTGGTTCGATACTTTTAAGAAGCGTATTTCATATTGTCAACTTCATGGAGAGGCAGCTTCGGTTGACTTGGATGCAATTGAACCTGAGCTCGAAAAAATTCGCCAGATCTGCGCTGAGTACACCCCTGAGAAGTATGGGTGATCAATATGAATAATCTGGATTGGAAAGTGAATGAGAAACGTTCATCCCTTTATTGATCACCTCCTACTGATATAAATAGGACAATCTCTAATTGATAACTAATAATTGATAAGTGAAATTACTACTTACATGTGACTAATATGTCACAACCCCCGATAATATATTTAATTGCGATGAAACAGGGTTCTATTTGAAAGAGCTGGATTCCAAATCCTACACGATACCAACCTCCAAAACTGGTGCCAAAGCTCTCAGAGAATGCAAGGTGTCTATCTTATTTTGCATCAATGCCTCTGGCACTTCTCTCTCTATGGCCAATACAATGACTTCATTTAAGCCATTAGTCATCGGTAATACATTGAATGTAATAGTCCATGTTAGCTGTTATTTTTTCTTATTTCTTTTCGTGACAATTGCATTTGTTTGATATTCGTTAGCCAAACACTTCGCGAGACAAGTCGAACAAGATAAGGCATTGAAAATGACTATGGAAAAGCGGATTCAGGATGGATGAATCGATGTATATTCATCAAGTGGTTGCAAAAGTTTGATGATGAGCTCTCGCAACCCACACTTCTTCTCCTTGACTCCACGACAGCGCACAACGACATCGACATGCGCGTTCCAGAGGAAGGGATCCCTTGGAGGCATATCCGAATACAGCGACTACCAAAAAACTCGACTCCAGTAACTCAGCCTCTCGATGCTGGGGTGATAAGCGTTTTCAAGCGGGCGTTCTTGGAATTGCTTACTTCCGAAACGTATCTCGTTCAGAATTTTGGCAACAAAAAATCTATTTCTAAGCATGGGCACTGATCCCTGAGGCATGGAGTCACATCAAGCCACATACGCTTCGAAACTGTTTTGCCAAAACGCCAATCCTTCCGACTGAAATGTGTGAGCGGCTCCGTTGTCAAAGGCCGGCAGTCGATGAGGAAATGCGGCCGCTTATTCGACATAACCGATACAAAAATCAAGAGAGAGCATACTTCCAGTAGTTGATCGCTGAGGTCTCTATGATCAAAGGCTGGCATTTCGAAATAGTACAGAAAAAGGATGAGCAAGAGCTAGTTGAAGAAGCCCTGCAACAGGAGAGGGCTGTGGGAGATAGGACAAGCAGCGAATACGTAGCAGAACCTAGTAGTGCTACTTCCAACCCTGCTGAAGCTGAAAGCTCACCGCTTGCCGATATGGATATGGATGTGACCTTTCAAATATTGAAGCGTTTAGCAGAAGATCACGAAGTACTCAGTCATGAAGGCCTTAAACGCATCAGACAGAAGACTAGCCAAGGCTCGGCAAAGAAACGGAAGATCCGAAAGATAGCGAAGGACTTGGTGCGTACTTGTGCAAGCTGCAGGGATGAAGTGGATACTGACACGTCGAGTAGTTTTTTTTTTTGTTATAAGAGTAAAAAAATAATGTTTCTCATCACATGTCATGTGAGAAATATATTTGTGTGACTTTCCAAACGTCATTTTAGAATAAAACATTTGGGGAGGTCAATTTAATCAAATTTGTAGGCGTTTTTCTTAAGAAAACGTCTATTTTTCTAACGCGCTGCATTTGTTTTGATCATCACTTCTCTCTCTCTTACATTCTTACATTTGCTGTCTTTTTTATTGTCATCGGTACCAATACTCTTTGCCTCACTGTCTTGTCATTGCGCAACTGCTTCTCCGTGATCGTCATTACTCAGCTGCTTTTCACATACGCAACTATTTTTTACCAAGGTATTCATTCTATTTAGTTATAATTGATCAATTGAAATGTAAAATGTATAAAGTCATGACATTATCCCATATTCAGCCACAACTCTCCTCACCATTAATCCTTGCGTCTCTCTCTCTCTCTCTCTCTCTCTCTCTCTCTCTCTCTCTTGTCACTGTTAATAATTAATCATTGCGTCTCTATTTTCCTTTTTTAATATCTAGTGCAATCAAGGCTACCATTTTTTTTTCCGTCACTCTATCACTAAATACCTTTTTTTCACACACTCTCTCACATACCACTCTTTCTTTTGCTCATTTTCATCACTCGGTTCGCCTCAGATTTCTTTCCTCTACTCTAAGGTATTGATATCTTGCCAAGTTGTAAATGCTGTATCATGTAGATGGTGCTTGGATCGATGGACTTAATGGGGGTGCCATAGAGATATAGATCTCTTATCCTCATACTCCTCTGTCGGCCCCTTGGCGGGAAGAGATGTCCATCAGGTGCACTGTCGGCCCCTTGGCGGGTGCATCAAGGTACAGTAGATGCATTGTCGGCCCCTTTGGCGAGTGCATCAAGATATCGTATATAAATGTTCCTAGATATTGTTAGTTTAATGTTGATTATGGTGGACTTAGTGGGGGTGCCATAGAGATATAGATCTCTTATCCTCATACTCCTCTGTCGGCCCCTTGGCGGGAAGAGATGTCCATCAGGTGCACTGTCGGCCCCTTGGCGGGTGCATCAAGGCACAGTAGATGCATTGTCGGCCCCTTTGGCGAGTGCATCCATTGAAGTTTCATTTTAATTTGTTACTACAATTGTTTCTGGCCATAACCTTTTGATTTTCTATTTTTGCTTAATTTTACATGAAGCTGACTGTTGGTAACCTCAACCTAGGCTCGACATGGCTATCCCCCCAGCTTATGCCGGTACTACTGATGTACTCCCTGAGAACGTTCCTTCGATTCCATACTTGGCAAAAACAAAGATTGCAGCTTGGAGTTTGACGGGCTTCTTTGCTTTTACTGGACAAAACGAGTCAAGTTTTTTTACAGCATTGAATGATATTAATTCATTTAAGGGAGCACCAAGGGATGTGCGATCATTTTGCAAATCCATTTTGGATTTTTACAGTGGCATCTTCGGAAAAGAAGCAATTGAGATTGCAAAAAATAGCATTAAAAAGGATGTGAATAGATCAATGATGGAAGGTCAAGAGCAATTGGTTTTGCAATCTCGCGTTAAAAATGGTCTTCGAGAGGAACTGGTATGCTTTGAAATGATAGGAAACATTGGATGACTGCATGTGATGAATCGTAGAACTATTTCACAAATCGGTCTAACCTACTTCTTTATTTTCATCCTGACTGCATCTGTATTGTTTTCACACAGGCAAAAGAACAACAGACCAGTGAACCATGGATCACAGCAATATCAACACCAATAACACCTACCTCAACAGCTACAGTAACAGGTTTGTTATTATTATTATTATTATTATTATTATTATTATTATTATTATTATTATTATTATTATTATTATTATTATTATTATTATTATTATTATTATTATTATTATTATTATTATTATTATTATTATTATTATTATTATTATTATTATTATTATTAATTATTCTTTTTTTTTTTTTGTGAATCAACAAAATACCAACATTAGCATCGATGGATCAGAATGGAGAAGCTTCGACCTCCAAGAAACCACGCTCCCCTACTAAGAGAAGGAAGGCCATGTGTGCTACCGAAGAGCCATGGAGCTCACTTACTAAATCATTGATGAAAATTGTAAGATCTGTAAATCCACATTTAGTGCTCTTCCTAACTATGTGTAAAGTGACTCATTATTCTACAAATGTATAACTAGATTAACTGCGAGAAATGTGTTGAATTTCCACAGAAGTCTCCATCAATGAACCCACTACATGCAGAGTTGTTTGATCATTCTGTCAACATGTTGAAAGAGTACCAAGGACAAAGCGAGCAACAGAAAGATATTACAGTGGTCAAAGATGCTCAGTAAGTTAATCATAGTATGAAACATTACTGTTATTAGCTATTCCTCTGTGCATTTCAAACGGAGTCTAATGTGCATTAACAATGTCCATATAGAGTCGCAATGAGCTGTGTTCTCAATACATTATCCAAGAGGGCATGTGACCACTTCGACAACTATAACAATGGCTCTGTGTTAGAGGAAGCAATAGAACAGAGTCTGATAGAGGGCTTCACTGAACATCCTTGCCAACAAGTCCTGAAAAATTATATTCCAATTCTTGAGGAAGTTGATGTAGAGGACTTTATTGGTTGTTTGAAGACTGACTGGGGCTTACTTGAAGGTAGAAAATCCAAGCCTCCACTGCCATCGGAACTGCTTGAGGATAAGGTTATTGAAATTTTAATATTGCTGTAAGTTTCGAACTAACTCTCAATCTTTAAGTCCTACAAAAATTGTATGGTACTATTTTGAAACATATTAACATTCAAGAATCCATTAATATAGGTGCAAGTTCATTACGCACCCACCATTTGGAACTGTTGCCCCATCTGAGATGGACTGTATGCATATTTGGGTTTCTGTATTTGCAATGCTAACAAACAAAGTCACCCTACATACGTAAGTAACCAATACAGTATTGTCCTTGATGCATACATTTGAATACTAATATGTCCAATCTCAAAATGCAAATATAGGGGTGAAAAAGCCCTCGAGGCATCAAAATTGATGCGCCAACTACAGACATCAGAATATGGTGATGTTAGCGATGCTGGTCGAAAAGCCGATTGCCTCTTTATGTTCCAGCAGATTGAGCTGTCAAATATCGAATTTAAATGTGAAAATATTTCTCCAAGAGAAATAGCAATCCAAAATCGAAAAAATATAAGACTGGCTCGCTGTATTCAGGAATCGCATGTAGCCATTGGTGTTACTTCATCTTCTGTTCACGTTGCTGACGTTGCTGGTAAGTCAACAGCAACAGCTTATGAGTTGCAAAAGAGCACCTTGTTATGGCTTTTACTAATCTACCCCACAATAGGCTTTGTTGGGATGTTTTACCAGGTTAGGCCTATGGGAGAGATTGCCATTGCTGGAAGGATTGCCCCAGAGACAGTCCACCTGCCAAGAAACAAGGGCGACCTTCTGAACTTCTTAGAGGACAGTTCTTTAGCAATCATCTGGAACTTTATTGTAAGCCATTTATGTAGCTATTTCGTAGTTGTCACTCACATTGCAACCACTAAAATACATTATTATTAGGATTCGCTTGAGAAGCAGGCTCCCAAATTAATGACAGCAAAGGAGCGCACCGAGTCAAGTAAGAAGAAAGAGAAGTTTGTCCAATCTGTCTCAAGGCCAAGAGATACCACTCCACCTCCACCAACAACCCGACTGTTTCCTAATAATATCACTCTTTCACCAACTAAAAAGAGGGAATGGTCTTCTATGTAAAGGAGTTCATAATGCTCTGTAAAAATATAAGATTGGTCCACAATAAAGAGTTTTCGCAAATCCAAATACACATCAAAACAGACATCAGGAAGGAGAAATAAGCCGCAACCAAATTCTAGTTTTTTCCCAGTTTCTGTCCCGTTGTTGGTTTTGATGTTTTAGACATCAGTCAATGTTCCTGATGTATGCTCTGGTACTATGCCCGAAAATAAAGAAATTCGCAGACAGTCTAAAATAAAAATTATGGTATGTATCATACTGTAATGATCTTCACTCCATCCACTATTCACATACACAACCTTGGAAAGTCTCTTATCATGGGTCGTTATACTCCCATCGAACTACGTGGTCAGGTTGTTGGAATGATGAAATGTGTTAAACCTAGCTCTGAGATTGCCAACTCCAGTTGAATGTCAGGACCGTTCAGATGATAATCCAAAGGTACAAGGAAAGGGGTACTGTAGAAACCAAGCCGATACCTGGACGCCCCAAAAAAACTCAATGATAAAGATGTCAGGCATGCAGTAAATCTTTATCATAAAGACAGACGTGCCCCACTCGTTGATATTTTAAATCAATTACCAACAAAAGTATCTACTCCATGTCTCACCATTAAAAAACGAACGCGTATGAGATGTTAAGCATTTTGCAGAGCGCAGGCTGTGTGTTTCTCCATTAGAAAACTAACACGATATCAAATGGTCCTCTCCACTTCATAATATCCATGCTCCTCAGCATCCATGGTATAGGTTGCATTTCTCTGTAAGGGATAAGCAAGAGCGGAAAGGGAAAGATGAAAATGAACGCGTATGAAATCTTAAGCATTTCGCAGGGCACAGACCATGTTTCTCAATTAAAGTTAATTTTATTTAATAGTCATGTTTCTCAAACTCAAACTCATGGCCGTATTAATAGCGTTTGAATAAACCAATCATTAAGGTGCGGTTATTAAAAGGCATACGCTTGAGCTCATTGGCGACGTTTGAAGGAACTAATGAATTATTTTGTATTAATAGTTGAAGCAAGCCATCATTAAGGTCTAGTTATTCTATGCTTTAGGGGTTGAGGAAACTCATCATGGGTATCTGGTTATATAGTTGAAGGGGGGTGAATCTATTTGACAACCCGGGTTGTCACTCTTATTTGACAACCCCCCCCTTAATTATTTTTCTCAATTTTTTTTCTTTGCGTGACAACCCGGGTTGCCAAATAGTAAAATATCTAATTTGACAACCCCAAGCTCACTGTTATTTGACAACTGGCAAGATTATAATGTGAAAATCATTTCTATTGCTATCCCTCAGCAACACGAAATCCCTCCAGCAATCTAAAAACTTCCATCAAATAACAAACTTTTTTTTTTGGTTACGAGGTGTTGTTTTTTATTACAACTGATTTCTAAAACAAGGGTTTGCTTTATAGAAAATGTGCCTATACGGGTAACATGCACTAAGGGGTTTTTGGATATATAAGCATACATAAATTCGGAGTGGTGATGCGACGCTTGATGGCGCATGCGTAAGACGCGGAAAGGAAAAAAAGAGAGACAGAAGAAGCTATAACCACAGTCATGATAACGGAGTGTTGCCACCATTTTAGAAATCCAGCTGAGAAAGGCCCTCCAAAAGTGCAAGAGGGTGAAGACTTGTCATGTGACAGGTTGAAAAAGACAATTTTTCTTCTTTTTTTGACAACCCGGGTTGTCAAATAACAAAAAAGAGAAAATTGAAGACCTGGGTTGCCAAATAAGCCGGTGTGACTGCTAAATTAGGGGGGGGTTGTCAAATAAGAGTGACAAAGCTTAATTCGGATAGTTATCACATGACAATAAACATTTTTGAGCACACGACCATGCGTACACAAATCGATATCCATGATACTGTAAGTAGAGTCGCTCATTTCAGACCCAATTGGATTTTCTCGACCTGAGGAATACTGAAGCGCAACTTTAAGAGATGGTTTTACATTTATTGACGAAACTTAATATCCGTAGTTATGTGAAAATGCAACAAGAGACAGTACATCATTATTCTTTTTTATCTTTCAGCACAAATGTATTTTTGCAAAATAGATCCCATATCCTTTTCTATGGAGCTTTTTCTTTATTTCCCTTTTTAATTTTTGTGTTTTTATGGTGAGATCCCTGCCCTTTTTTTTTCGCTATTGTAGCCAAAATGATGGTGCTGATTCGCCGTAACTAATATTGAAAACCATAGTAAAAAGCCAGACTATGCAAGTATTTTCTCCAATTCATCCATCTCGTCATTCAGCCTTTTTCTGTCGTCCATAAACTTGGATAGCCCGAAATCGATTATTTTGAAATGTCTATCTTGGCCATCTTCTTGGATAAGAATATTCCCTCGATGGAGGTCACCATGAAGCACTTGAGCTTTGTGGATTGCTGACAACGCTGTTCGGATTTTCATGCGATCCGCCTCTGTAAGATCCTTATTCCTAATGTTAGTACCTGCATATTCTGTTACAAGAATAAGATCAATTCCATCCGCTATGCCTGCTATCTTCATACGGGGGATATAGCGACCTTGAAGATGATGTAGAAAACTGTAAACCTTTGTCTCATGTTCTAGCTGCTCCATGGCATCCTGACATTTCCAGTGGTCTTTCCAAACAGTACACTTCTTGACTACAACATCTTCTCCTTTCCAAGTGGCTCGAAATGTTGCAGCGCATTCATCTTGCGAAATGAGCCTCATGTTCTTAAAAGATGGAACTGTTACTTTTTGTCCCCTTGCGATATTTCCCTGAGACTGACCGCTATTCGCCTTGATTCAGTTAGACCTTGGTAAATTTAGACCAAACAGGAATAAAGCTCGTTCATTAATGCAACTACAACAGGCGCATCAACTACCTATGAACGATATAATTTGTCAAACCTTCTCAAAACCTTGCCGAAACTCCACCTAGTCTCCCGAGGCTCCTCCTCAGCAGGGGCTGGCGGTCTGTAGTCACTATCACCATGATCTGGAAGAGTCACGTTGTTGATTTCCTGCTCGCTCGGGGGATCGGATTTCCCATTTGGATCACGGTTGGCCTCTCTAATAAACCAGGTAACTCTGGAGCAATGTCGGATTAGTTTGGCTGTGATAGACAGTTGGTGATACTTCAATATCTCGCGTTTGATCACCGGCGTTATTAATGTGGAGTCTTATAAACCAGGTTTGCTCCAGAGAAGTGAGGACTCCATAACGGTATCCGTTGCACCACATGTAGCCTAAAATTTGTCGCAATGGACGAACTGGCCCTGCCGATTCTCGATCACTATTTGCGTTGTAAGCATCACCTAGTTCGATGCCTTGATTAACAAACAACACATAGGGTTTCTTCACTTCAATGGGGAACAAAATTCTTCCTGAACTAAGAAGGCACTGACTATCAGGTTCACCGCGGTGTGCTGCCCTAGTTTTTCGTGTATCAGTCCGAGGCTCAAGTTGATAAACATTGCTGTGATCGCCGACTCTTCTTCGAATACTCTTCTTTTTTGGAAACTGGGCGGCTCATACAATGGGGTATCACTTAACGTCATATTGCGCACACTATCCAAAAAACCAGGCCATGCGTGTATTGAATCTGGAGACACTAAATAACGGTTACGTGCAGTGCTCCTAATCGATTCGATACAACCGAAATTGAATGGGATTGAATGCATTCGATTCAGTTTCGGCTCAGGGTAAGTTTGTACCGAAATTGAATGCTCCATTCCTGTATCGAATCGAATGAATCGAATGTGTTGAATGATACCCTTAATGTGTAGCATGGGTCGTATGATTATATCGAATGCATCGAATGTATCGAAACCGTTTACCGAATGTATCGCAGCCGATTTACCGAATGCATCAAAACCGATTTTTTAAGCGCATCGAATGTATCTATGCACTATTTAATACGACTATATCGGCTTTTTGAATAAAAAACTTGACAGGTTAGAATGGGCTTACACAATTTGATGCGCCACGGTACATTCGACTAACGTTCAAATGTTGGAAATATATTTAAATTTTGACTTATCACTTATAACGAATGTATACAGAACTATAGCAACTAATTTATGGGAGAACATTCATCCAAGAGTCCAGGATGACCAAGCGCTGGATCGTCGTAGGGCTAAGGCTATTTCTTTCAGGTGGCAGGAAGAACTTGGCTTGCGAAAAGCATCTTTCTGCCGGGGTTGATGTCACAGGGACTGCAAGATAGTCCTTTGCCATATTCGCCAAATTGGGCAAGCGCTCCTTTTGTGATCGCCAGTACACTAACTCTGGAGGCTCATGTTACTAGCAACTAGAGAACTTCCTTCTCGAACGTATAATTCAAGCTCTCCACCTTTTTTCTTGATACCATAGCGTCTCATCTCCATTTCTTCTTCAGCTGGGAGCTGACTTGGGCCTTCTTTGCCCTTATATTCATCTTCCCAGACCTTCGTTACCATGTCTTGGCTGCTTTGAATATATTCACCCCATTCGTTAGCTTCCCACCAGTCAAACCGCATCCTCGGGTCCATAGCAGTGGCGACGGCATAGACCGCTGAGGAATCAGTTTTAGAATAATAACGCAAAAGCTTCTTTAACCCTTGACCTGCTGCGTTTTTTAGTGGAGGATCCTCTTCTTTTTCAATATAATCTTCTAGGTGGTCGATCATGTTGTTGTAAGCAGACATGGCTCTGTTGATTGTCGGGTATCCCAGGCTAGAAGACACCGTCGCTGTGATATCATTAAACTGGCTAAGCAAAATATGGAGGTTCTTCAGGTATCCCCATTCTTCGTCTTTCAGGGAGAAGGCCGATAAAAACGGTTCGTTCTGGCACATGCTCTGGTAGGCTAGCCTTAACGCTATTGCCCTATCCACCATGATGAAAGTAGAGCTCCAACGTGTGCAGTTATCCCTTTTCAGTTCAAGGCTTGGGCATTTCAGGATAGCGCAGACCTGGCCAAACTTGTCAATTCTTTGTGGCGAAGCTCTATGTATAAGTCGATATAAAAGGTATTTTATAGTTAAGTTTCATGATTCAAGTTTATACTGTATTTGCAGTCAAGATTATATAGTAATACTGACCTGATCTTAACAATGCCTTTTCTGAGTTTCTGTAATGTACTCAGCGTTACAAGCGTTAACCCAACCGCATCCTCACACTCATTGTTGTTCACGTAGAGACTGTCATTTTCAGGAGCCAAGTCATTCAAACCACTTGGGCCCAAAATCGCCTGAACTGCCAGATTAATGATGTGTCCAAGGCATGGCCCATGGTATAAGCCATCCTTGAGCGGCCTAATGTTTTTTATTTTTATTTATTTTTATTTTTTTTAAGAGAAGCGTTAGAGATAACTCATTACTAGATGCGTTAGCATTATTGAAAGTGACTGAGAATTACCATTCTACTGCCTTGGGATGCTTTTCAAGCTCTTGGATCATTTTGGACATATTTGACGCATTGTCGGTGGTGATACTTAGAAGCTTGTCACCAATTTTAAATCGATCGATGACCTTAGCCAGAGATTCCGCTAAGTTCTCACCTGTATGCGCTCCATACAATGGCTCAAATCCAATGACCAGCTCTTGTTGGCGCCAGTCATGATCAACCCAGTGAGCTGTTACCCCCAGGAAGTTGCCTTGGAAAGGGCTTGTCTAGCCATCAATGGTCAGTGATACCTTGTTAATATCCTCAAATAAGCTTATGACTTGATGCTTCATGTATTGGTATTTTAGCTTAGCCTATTTTTAATCCATCTTTTTGTCAGTGTTTGGCTGATGTTTGTTATAAAAAAAAAATAATAATTGAAGAGTAATAATAATAATAATAATAATCATAATCATAGTAATAATAGTTTTACCTTGGTTGCCATGGTGTCATCAGACGGTAGCTTTACTTGAGATGCTGTAGCCATTGTAGCATGGACTAGAAGCTCCTGGAGAGCAGTGCTTTTGACAATCGTAAATGGCTGCTTTGTTGTGATAACGAATCGGACAAGCAATTCGTCAAATCTCGTAGGGTCAAATACTTTTGGCTGAGAAAATGAATTAAGCATCTTGTCCATCGGGCCTTGCTTGGAGAGACTGCCATCATTGGCATTGCTATCTTTAGTGATGCGATGTACTTGCCACAGATGCTGGATGACCCCTGAAGTTGACATATTCGATGAACCAAAGGTTTTCCCGCAGCTAGGGTAACAGCAGCGCATACCAGAGCCACTCTTAGTTTTAACACGCTCGGCCCACTTGTTCTTCAGTGACCACGCCCAGCTTCGGTTGATCGCCGTGCTGCTTGCCACGCTGGAGCTTCCCACGCTCCTCGTCACTAAGCTCTCATTCATCACGCTGCCGCTCATCACGCTCTCCATATCCATATCGTTGTCAGGTGCGTCAAAGCTGGCAGACATAGAAGTGTTACCAACGTCAAAAACCTTAAGTTCATGTATGATAAAATTGCAATGGAGGTATTAATTTAAACATTAAGGTTAAGTTTTTTCCTTCTTTTCTTAATACAAAGTAATATGGCAAATGTATTCAATATATACTTCTTCTTCTTCCTCCTCGATAATTCGACGACGTCGTTTACTCATTTTAAGAGGTGTTTTGGGCTGAATTGAGATAATGCATGAAAAGGAAAAGAGAGAAAAAAAAAAAAAAAAAAAGGAAAAGGAAAGGAAATGAGGCGAACTGAAGCGAATACAAACACATTTGTTGTCCTGATGCCGCAGTTGAGTATTTAAGTATAACGCACCAGATATCTCGCACTCGTTGTTAGGCTTTATTTTCTATAAACATGTGTTTTAACCTTATCTTCATGGTAATATTTTTCTTAATCCACGATTTAAATCCACATTTTGATTAAGAGTGCCGTGAGAAAAAATTTATAAAAATTTTAATCGGTTTATCAATGTACCGAATGATTCGGTATATCAAATGAATTGAATCGGTACAATCGAGGCACCGAATGATTCGATTTACCGAATACATCGAATATTCGATACATTCGATTCGGTTTCGACAATATATATTCATTCGGTTTCGATTCGATATGAACCTTACCTTGGTCAATTCGATTTCGGTTCGAAGGTGTATTGAATCGAATGTACCGATTAGGAGCACTGCTTTTTTAGTTTCTGGGATTTAGCAAAGAGGCAAAGCAAACATCCCACGCCCTAAAATCTGTCGCCCTACGAAAGTTACCAAGAGGACGAAGACCTTACTTGCTCGTTACTTTGATATTGGGAAAATTCTAACCTTAAAGGAAGGCCAGCGTTTCATCAAATCGACTGGCGGAGTACAGATTCACGTAGAGAGCGTCCGAAATTACCTTGCACAAGAGAGCTTGAAAGAATATGTCAAGCGAAAGAAGCAGGATATCACTGCGAATCAAATTGCCGCACGGTACCAGTTCGCAAAGGATCATTTGAAATGAACCGTCGACGACTGGAAAAACGTTATGTTCTCTGATGAAGTCGTCATCAGCAGGATAGGGCCCTTCGGACGACAATACTACTTTAAGAGACCCAGAAACAAGCGGATACTGCCACATCAAGTTCAAAAGAAAAAGCAAGGTGGTGGCGGCAAAATTATGATATGGGGTTGTGTGACATATTACGGCCTAGGTGATGCATGCTGGCTTCAAGGAGGGCTCAATTCAGTAGCGTATGTTGATGTGCTAAAAGACTATGTATTCCGATCACGGGATTGGTATAACATGGACGTGGATAAATTTGTTTTTCAACAGGACAATGCCAGAGTCCATACGGCTCGCACCGTTATGAGATATGTGAAGAAGGCCAAGCTCAAGCTTCTGAAATGGCCTGCAAATTCTCCTGATCTCAACGTAATAGAAAACATCTGGGCGCGCGTCAAGAGAGAGCTTGAAGACTATCCAACAGCTCCGAAATCCATCGACGAACTGTGGGAGAGATTCCAAGACATATGGTGCAAGATTGATATACAAGAAATTCAAGGACTGTATGAAAGCATGCCCAGGAGGATAAGGAAGCTCTATGACAACAAAGGAGGCTATATAGACTATTAAGGCGGAAAATATGAAGAAATAAAGTTCGAGATGTCATTTTTCAAAAAAGTGTTAGAATGGAAGGCGCAATTTTAAAAGTTTCTAACAGCAGCCTAAACCGCCTTTACTTAAAGCTGAAACCCGCTACAGGCTCTAGTGATATACCAGATTGTATACATTTAACTTCAGGGCAAACGCAGGTAATATGGAAGAGATAGAAGAGAAAAACCAGAAAAGTGACAAACATGCGAACACTTTTTTGGAGGACTGTATTTTGAGAAGTAATCCAGCTCAGCAATCATTAATACAAATGAAGGACTTAATAGCAGTGTGGTCAAAGAAAAAGAAAAAAACGACTGTGTGAGAATGTCGCTTGCAACGAGTAAAGAGCTTAATGATAACGAGAAATAAGCTCAATCACAACCGATGCAACCTGGCGCGTAAACTACCAACATGTGACTGATGTCACACCTATCTTATCCTGTGGCTAATTATCGCGTCTTTAAAAGAAAAATAAATAAAAAAAAAAAGTTAATTAATTAAACGCGTCATTGCATTAATCATTGCCGATGAAGCAAATAGGAACGTGACTTACCTGCTGATGGACGTTGGACAATGATGTGGATGGTTTTCTTTGCTGGGGCCGCGCCAAAGACCTCAGAGATGTCGCTTGCAGGGTCTTCAAGCTCCTTGGGCTTTTTCTCCTTTGCTTCATTTACAGCGTTTTTAATTGTTTTATCCATTTTAAAATAAACTTTATCGGTTTTTTTTTAAAATTGTTCCAATGAATAAAAAAATTTATCCAAAGGTAAGTTAAAAAGTTGGCCGAAAAGGGCTGAGAAATTTATCCAAGTGGTCATGCGGAATTAACCATGACTTTTGTGGGACATGGAAAGGACATGGTGTTTGGATATTTGTGACAGTCGGTTCGGTTATTATGTTTGATAACTTATAGGATAATTTTATTAGCTTAAACGGATAAAGCTTATTTCCCATCGGAGCAATGCAAATTGAAAATGGATAAATGTTTTTAAAATGGATAAAACAATTAAAAACGCTGTAAATTACTGAAGAGAACCAATTAAACAAATGAGTCTTACTCCAAGTGGAAGTAGACGGATCTATACCGCAATAATGTAAAACCAAAAATAAAAAAAGATGGATCATTAGACATAATCAATGATTAAATGCTTGCATGCCGCAGTAACAGGCACAATTAGAATTTAACGGCCAATAGTCGTTGGACAATGACATGAATTGTTTTCTTGGGTGGCGGCTCGGTAAAGATGTCAGCAATGTCGTCCGTTGGGTCAAGCTCGGTTGGGGAATCAATCGCGCCCAGAGCCTCGTTCAACAGTGAATAGAGCAAAAATTGTCTGTTCGAAGGGGTGGAAATGGTTGGCTATTAATCGAATAAACGGAAGTTGTGTAACACAACCATCGAAGAGAAAGATTGGGAAAGCGCCAATGGAGATTCTGATTTAAAGGTTGTGACGGCATTTTTGGTCTCTTCGACTGCTACTTCGACATTTTGTAGAAGAAACTATCGAAGTGAACGAAAATCAGGCGGAAATATTGGACAACCTAAATATTTTTTCTCTATTCTGCACCACATCACGACCCAATAGCATTGTCTATGTGATTCCCTCTATTCGCTGCTGAACGAGGCTCAGGAGAATGGGTTGGTGCTTGTTAGCTGCAATGACAGGATGAGAGACGCGCCACAGGGTGAGTTCATCAGCGGCGACATCATCAAAGCGAGGAGTCTTCTCAGCCTTGATGTGCTTCTTGAGGCCATCAACTGTCTTGGTAGGGTCAATCTCGCGAAAACGCGTTTGAGGTTGATTCTCCATCCACAAGACAGAATAGGGTAATTTGGTTAGTGGTTATGGTGTTGTGTAGCATTGATGAAGAGAAAGAGAAGGTTCTTAGGGTGTGAGTTGAAGTGAGAGCATAGGAAAGAGCGAAAGGAGTAGAATGGTGGCAAAAAAGATGATGTGTTCTACCTCACTTGTCACAGGTGAAAACTATTCAAGACCTCCCATGCATGTAAACATCTCTACACAACCCAGACATGCAAGCATGATCTCACGACTCCATCCTCCTTCACTTCCTTCTTTTCATTCCTGTGCCAGAAAAAAAAAAAAAAAATAAAAAAAAAACAATACTAAATGCAACTGAATAAATGATCCCTCAATCACTCGAGCAGAAATGACAAAAACCAATTGACCATTGGTCGACGCGCATTGTAGTTGAATGAGTAGAGTACCAAAACAACAATTGCACAAAGGCAAGGAGACACATGCGTCTAATTTTTCTCATCCCTTCGTCTTCTGTCTTTCATCTTCCCTCTCCTAACATTCATCCTTCATCCTTCAGCACATCAGACTATTCCAGCTGCATTACTTTTTTATTAGTCCGATTCTCGAATCTTTTGAGGCGTACATGGATGTAAGAGACAGACGAACATGACTGGGAGCATGTAAGAAAACATTTTTTCACACTCATCACTGATAAACATTTCTTTGACAACCATTCTTCTCTCAGTGGTGCGGATAGGAATACCATCTACGACCAAAAAGAAAAGCAATAGACCATGTTTAGCAGCATGATTTCTCCATCACGCAGTGCACTCTCGCCAGCACAGGCTCTGAGACTCTTTGACTTGTATATGCAGGGTACACGCACGATAGAAGACGATAGCATCCTAGTGACAGAGCTATGCCTCGATGCTGACTCTGTACTGTCTCGTATTCATGAGTCTTGGAAA